GGATGGTTGGAAATGGGAGAAAGGGATAGAAGAGGAAGAAAAGTGGCGGTGATATCAATAAAAATATCAATAAAGTAAATCAATAAAATTAATGGAAAAGGGAAATAAAGGCCAGGAAGAAGAAGAGATGCAATAAAACTGAAGGCTCTAAAGTAATAGGTACTTTCTGTTTTGCTGTTGTTTTAACAGCACACACATGGCAGTAAAAACTGCAGCTGGACCTCTATGTTTCTTTCCCTTCACTTTTTAAATTTTTATTAAAAATATTTTGCTTTGATTATTTTCTTTCTCAGTTTCATCTATTGAGTTTAGTTTACTTATTTATTTTTTTAGTTCCTGAATAATTTTGGATGTTCTTCTTAAGTAATCTTCTTGAGACTATTTCTCTTTGACAAAGTTCTCTCTTCCAGTTCTTATGTTAGTTCTCACTCAATCTATTCTTGTAGTTGGGTCTGTTCTTCTAGTTGTCTAATTGTTGCTTCTCATTTACAATATTATTAAATTAATCATGAATACCTGTTTAAAAATATATTTTGCGTTTAAATGAGACAACTGAAGCCTTACATTAGAGCTGTTGCCTCAGTTTCCAATTGTTTCAGAGCTAGAAAGAACTACAAAATTCCTCCTTTTCTCCCCAGCTCCGCTCTTTCATCCTGCTGCCCAGACTTCAGTTTTTTCAAAAATGAGGCTGAAAAAGGCCCAGGTGGCTTAAGGGAATTCAAGGTCTTGCAGAAGACAGCCAGTCCTGAGCTCCAAAGCAGCTTCTCCCAGGGGACTAACCTAGGGAAGTATCTATTGCTGAGCCATGCTAGGAGGCAGCACCCCCTGGAGATGTTGGGAATGGAAACTCCTGCCCTGGAAGAGAATGGGATGTCTGGAACCCACCACGCAGCAGGGGGGGTGGGGGCGGGGGACTGCAGCCTCTGTATTTGCAGTGAAATGTTTGCAAAAAGCCTTCAGAAAACCGGTGGAAAAATAAACACTCTGCCTTCTGCACAATACAAACCGGGAATGCAGAAAACTGGGGCTCCCTGCTGGGCTCACTTGCAATTCCCAGGGTGATTTGATTTAAAGAGAGTGGCATCTGCTTGGGAGGAAATTATAAACTTATTATTTCCGTTTATAAATTAAGCTTCTCAAAGGAAGGGAACTTCAAAAACAGCTTTATTACTGCCTAATGAAAAGACAATGGCTCCCGGGCACAATTAGCACATTCTGGAGGACAATGCACAGGCCAGCCAGACATTCAGAGGCTGAGGGTTCTTTCTGTGGCCTCCGTTATTAAAGGCATGTGTCTTCTTAGCCAGAGCCAGGATTTCTGGGGGTGTTTGTTGTCTCAGGGAATGAGAAAGTTATCTCCAGGGCCGCATTTCTCAAGTTAGCACACAAAACATTAAAACAAAACAACCAACCTGCTTTACTTTATCCCCTGGTCCCTGACCAACCCTCTTTAAACAAATACATTCTATAGCCCGAATGAATTTAATTCCTTCAATAAGTCGACATTGTCCTTAATGTAATTATGTTGGGAAGTAAATGTGTGTCGATACAAATCAAATCCAAACCATTTATTGGAAAGGGGTCTATTTATTTAAGTTTCAAAGTTTGAGTTGGTTCCACAAAATAACGGTTCTTTGAATTTGATGTTCAGCTAATAAACGATCATATTGAATTTCAAGCTGCTACTAATTGGAGGCTGAAATTCAGGCTCAGGCGGAAAGAGACAAGTTGCAAACCTGGACACCAGATCGCCAGACCCACTAATTCCACAAAACCGACTTTTATTTTCTGTGAATAAGTATTTATGTGTTACCTTTCCCTTCCTCTTTCTCCATTTACCAAAAAAAAAAGAAAAAAAAAGTGATGACTTTTTCAGTCTCTGCTTCAGAAATGAAAGGCTTTGGGCATTTGAAGTCAGTTGGGAGGCAGGAGCAAGGCAGCTAATTGGGAACGTCCTGGTGCGCCGATACAAAGGGCAGCGTGAAGCTGCGGGTTTCTGAGCTTGCTGTATGTCCTGTACGGCCTGTCTGGGGATTAAGAAAAGCTGCCTGGACCCATGTCATAGGTCCCACTGCAGATTTACCTACAGTTCCCTGGATGATTACTACACCAGTGCAGGCACTGTGACCGCTTTGAAAAGAGCCAGGAGCAGCTCTTCTGGGGGGAGGGGGGGTGCACATAAAACCACATGGCGATGTTAGGAAGACTCCCAGGGTGACCCAGCGAGCACCTGGCCTCTACAGAGGCAGCTGGATCCAGCCAAAGGAGCAGTCCCCAAAGCCCTCAGGGCAAGGCCTGCTGAACAACCTGTCACCAAGGCATCTACAGGTGCGATGCTACGTTGGAAAGGGACAATTTTACACTTGGTGGAGGAGGAATAGGATTATATGATAGTGGGAAGGGGGGACATGGAGGAGAATGGAGGAGGAAAATGCGAGGAGGAAGCACAGGGAAGAGGTGTGTGCCCTGAAGACACAGGGAGGGGCCAGGGGTGGGCTGGAAGGGTTCAGTCCTCTAGCAGGGGAGTGGCTTTCCCAGGGACAGAAGCGCTCCTCTGGCCTTCTTGTCCTGGCTGCTCAGAACCTCCTGAGAGCCAGAGAGGTGGCAGGGAAGGGTCCAGTGCCTCTTCTCTGTCTTGGGCTGAGGGCAGATTTTTCTCGGAAAGTCCCTGCTTGGGCACGGTCCAGAGGAGCGTCTCACCTCCTTCCTGGTTCAGACCCTCTAGGAGGCTGGCGTGGAGAGGGGCTTGTGCTGATAGGCACACATTTACCTGGCTTCCAGCTTCCAAGCTGGGGGTGGGTCACATCACCCATGTGTTCAGGACGCCCCTAGAACACCAGCACCTGCCCGAGGCTTTGCTCCCCGAGACACACTAGCCCAGGGTCTGTTCACACCCCGTGCCTGACATACACACGCCTCTCTTTGTGGTCAGGGGCCACAGCTACATTGTGGGAGGAGGAGTACCAGGGACGTGGTCCTTTTGTTTCCTGAGAGAAACAAATCCCCAAACTGGTCCTTGTCCGGGGTGAGAAGGGGAGATCAGCTCTGAGTGGGGAGAAAGATGTGCAACCATCCCTGGTTAGCAGTGAGTCCGTGGAGGCAGGCTCCGAGTTCCAGGCAGGCTTGGCACCGAATGGCCTGGGCAGCAGCCACCTTGGGTGACTTTCAAATGTCCAGCTTTCTTGCTGAGGGCCTCTACTACTCTGGGATTCGCTCAGAACCAACCCAGACCTCCAGCACCCCCTCTGTTACCCACCTGCTGCTGGTGTGTCCCTGAAGAATTCAAAATTATTTAGAGATTACTTTATTATTACAAAATTATTTAGAAATTACTTTAGATATTCGAAAGTGTGACTAAAGTGGGGGGGGGGAGGAAGTTAGTCCGAGGCATCAAAAATAAACTTGTACTATTGTATTTTCTCTTATTTCAAAGCTTTATATTCCTACACAAGATACTGTAGCACTTGAAAGCAGATATAGGCATAGAAAATATTTAAATGACTTATAATTCCACACACCAGAGACACAGCCACAGTTCACATTGTGCTGTCTTCTCATCCGTAGCTTTTCTGTAGTGAGATGTACGTCTCTCTTGGTTTAGGTTTAATAATCTAGGTTTAAAATCAAATCGGGCTCTCCAGCTGCCACCTCCTGGCTTCTGGGTGGTTCTGCCCAGACATCCTGAGGACCCAAATAATAGGGGACCCAGAGACTGCAAGAGGGGAGGTGACAGACCCAAGTCTTACCCGCTTCCCGTACCCCACCTTGAAAAGGGGGAGCGCGCTTCTTCAGGAGAGGCCACCACAGGAGACAGCAGCCCCGCGGGCTGGCTCTCAGCGGGTGATCGCCCATGTCTCCAGGGTAGGGGGGGGCAAGAGGAGCAGGGGCGATAGGCTCTGTGGGGCCTTTGATCCATGAGACCCAAGTACGTCACAGGCGAGCACTGGCAGGCGTGGGCTGGGCCCGCAGAGGGTTGCCAAACTGACAACAAACCTCCAGGAAAGCCTTCCAGCTCGCTCTGCATTGTTTCAGCTGCCTGGCCCTGCTGTCTCACGAATGAGGTGCAGAGGAGACTGGAAATGTATGTGGCCCCCTGAGCCCCTAACTGGGCTAGAGATAACACCAGTTTAGAGATAACACACCCAGGCTGGGGGACTAGTTCACAATCGGGGAGGCGAGACGCTGGGTCTTCCTGCTACACCTTAGTGCACACGGCAGATTTTTCTGAAGCTCACATATTTCTCTTTGACATCTGAGATATAAAGCACTTGGTCTCAATCATATTTCTTCTTGTCCAACTCTCAGGGATTATGGAAAAAAAGTAGAAAACTCAGGAATGAAGGAGGCAGCTCACTTCGGGCTCACTCCCAGAGTAAGGTTTGTGTAAAACCTGTGTATCGTTTACTCATTCATCAAACTCATGGTCACTTACATCACACCCGGACTAGCTAGGGACTGTAGAGTCAAAGACAATTAAAACAGATCCAGAACTTGCAGAGTTTAACTTTTAACAGGGACAGACTTGTCACCCCATAGTGGAAAATACCCCAAAAACTAGTTTGAAAAGTTAGAAATGTGACCATCAACTGCTTTTTAATCCGGGTTAGCTAGGTTTTCAGATAACAAGCACAATAAGCTTTTTTCAGCCTCCAGACACTCTTTGAGGAAGTTTCAAGTTTAAAGCAACGAGGCTGATAATAAAAATAAGTATAAGAACTGGATGACAGTGTCCATAAAACCTGCAGAGTAGAGAAAAATGGTGTATTTCTTGGACAGTTTTTCTTTTTTAGAAATTTAATAATTTGATCCATTTAAAGTTACTTTGCTTAAAAAGATAACTGAGGCTGAAGGAAAACGTTGACTGTAGTACTTGAAGACCCGACTGAGATCATGCTTCTCAATGCTAACCTGCGAGCCTGAGTTTTCAGGCAGCGCCCATTGTGCAGAAATTAGGTCTGCCTGAAGGAAGCCCAGAAGGTAACAAGATGGAGGCTTGACAGATGAGTAAGCTTGTCAAACTGAAACATCCAGCGGAAGGCGAGCTAGGCCGTTTTCCTGGAAACTTCTGGCTCTTCCGGAAGGCTGCAACCTCTTTCTGGGAGAATCTCAGCCTGCTAGTGTTCAGGTTGGTCGGTAGGATGCAGTCCTGAGTGGCAGGACCTGGGCTTGAACCAAATGCCAGACAATTGTGGGTCCATGCTGAGACAGCCCCACCAGCCTCCCTCCCTTAAGGCCAAGGTCATCCTGGTCCCACTGACTTAAGCCCTACCTGGGGTTTCAGGGACAACAGGGAAGGAAGAGAACACATTTTGGAACCTGACACTTTGTGACAGCTGCTCATTAGAAACTTTAAGTAATTTTCTTCCTGGTGACCAGCTTGACCTCTGCATTACAGAATGATACATCTGGAGCAGCCAAGGAGATTGTTAGAGTAAAACCCTTATTTTGGAAGTAAAGAAACCATGGGGGGTTGAAGGGGTGCTGTAGGGGGGATAGGGGGAGAAGCAACTTCCCTAAGGTCACTCGTTGTGTGATAGCATTAGACTCATAAAAAGAGTAAGTTGGGTCACATGAAACCTTTGAAATGTAAGAGGCAAAATGCATTCGTTGTGGGGCATTAATGACCATCAATCAATCAACCTTTCAATCAGCTAAACAATTACTTAATCACTGAGGCTTTAACCCTGGTGATGCCTAACCCTGGGTTCCTAAGTAAGAAACAAAAGAACCAGATGCCATTGCTTTACCTTTAAGCAGCCTAAATCCAATACAGGAGCTAAGAACTCCTTGCACACAATGAGAATTACAAAGTGTTCTTTGCAGGAAAAATTAATTAATGCAACTGAAGTTGGTATGGGTCAGATCTCTGGGGGGAGGTGGCCTTCGGGAAGGCAAGAGCTGAGAAAGGCTGGGAAACACCCGGTGCAGGCACAGGGAGAAACAGTGTCTGGATAGAGAATGGGGGCAACATCCCTGGTGGCACAAGGGGTTAAAGCGCAGCATCATGAAGCCAGCAACAGCCGCTTCAGCGTGAATTTCACAGATACTGGCCGGGGGTGACCCACATGGCGCGGCAGACCTCTCCTGTCTTGCCAACTGCTCCCCTCAGCAGGGTACTTTGTCGATCTGCCAGTTCTGCTCCCCACTCTGTCTCTGGTGAATCCTCTCACCGCCCCTGCACCTCTGGCCTGTACCCCAGTTCTGTATGCATAAATACATTTTATTTTTAAAAAAATGAAAATCAGAAGCTTCCATTTACATGCATGCTGGCTTCATCACAGCTGCTCTCCCAGAGTTGGGGGTGCCTTGCTCTTCCTCCTCCAGGATAAGTCAGTGAAGAGCCTGTAGAACAAGACGGCAGTTCCATCTTGGCAGCAACATCCCTTTGTTCTCTTCTTCACTAGTCATGCTGGGCTGTGTGTGAATTAGACTTGTTCTCTTCAGCCAACTAACTGCAAGGGGCACTCAAGCAAGCTATAGGGTGCACAGCTCCTCCCACCCCATTTCCACACATTAGCCCTGAGCTAACAACTAGGGCCCCTAAATCACCCAGACAGCTGGTGGCTCCTTACCTGTAGCAAAGGACCCTGTGGAGACAGTGAAAGCATGATACCCTCTCCCCAGCCTGGCATCTCCCACCCACCATTCAGAAGCCCCCAAGTGGGTCTGAAAGTGGGCACACACTCAGCAAAGGACCAAATAAGGAGGAAGCAGAGCTAGAAAGAGAATGGTCCTCTTGGGAGTGTTTTAAAGAAAGCAGACCCTTGGCAGCCACGTTAAGTGTGGCGTGGTGCCCACATGAAATTACTGCACGTTGTCTTGATGAACCACCGGGAACGATCCAAGCTGGCCCCGCAGGGTCAGAGTCACAGCTCCCTCAGCATTTCTCTGACAAAGCCCTTGGGGACTGGCCCCTGCCGGTTGCTTTTGATCTGCAGCAGAGAGCTTTGAGACTGCCCTCCCGCAAGGAGCGCTCTGCTGTACATGCTCAGGTGGCCCTGGATACATTCATAGACCCTTCCAGATCCACCCAACCCAGAAAGCGGTGGTCCATGAAGGGCGTAGTGTACATGAAAACATGGGAGCATGTGCGGAAGCCGTCAGAGGCTGGAATTCAGCTGCCCTGTGTGACTCTGACACAGACTCTGCGCCAGTCCACACTGGGTGTGCTGCTGAGGATCAGAGGAATGAGTTCAACCTGCATTTGTGGGTCTGCAAAATTCTCTGCATTTATGCTTATTATACACACTTTCCCTGATTCTCTCAGGTTAGAGAAAGGCAGAAAAAGCGGCAGCAGCCATCTCCTGGGCACCCTGCTGTACAATATGTTCACCCCTGGGTTGGTGGGAGAGAACACAGCCCTGGATGTTGGCGTCCCAGGTAGATCCCTCCCTGGGAGATCCCTCCCTGGGAGATTCCTCCTAGGTAGATCCCACAGCTGCACAGAAATGCCCCACTGGAGGGAAGTAGAATTCAGAGCTCTCGCCTGCTGGGCGCGCACCCCAGGAAAGCCCCGTGCCTGCTCACAGGGCTCCAAAAATGAAAGCGGCTGCTGGTTCAGGGAGTGGCGCTTTGACGACATTTGGAGTCCCCCTGTGTGACAACACAGAGACCCCTTGTGCTTCCTTGGGGTTCTCTGATGAAGGGGGAGGAGCACTCTTCAGGGGGCTGGGGAGGGCAGGTGGGGCAAGTATGTCTCCTGCACCTTCAGATAGGGAGGCAGCAGGGGGGGCCGTGCCACTTTGGACACGTGCGTGTGCTGTTCGCTGCTATGGACACGTTGGCCCGATTCCGGCCAGCCAGAGCCAGGCCAATCTCCCGGTGACTGCCCCATAATCAGTGCCCCCGGGCAGGTCCCAGGGAATGGCCGGGACATTGCTTCCCAGGGAGACCTTTGCATAGCCCTCCCTGACACCTGCGAGCCCCCGTGACCCCAGCCCCCAGCCTCCAGCCCCCAGCCTGCGCAGGTCCCGCCGTCCTGAGAGCTCGAAGCCCAGAGAACTTCTCAGCAGAGGGCTGGGGGCGGTGCGGTTCGCGGGAGGGACCGCAAGTGGGGGCGGGCGCCTGAGTGAACGCGCAGTTCAGATGGGAGATCACTGGTGATAACCCCGCCTGGATGGCAGCTCAACAGGAAACCTCGAGCTAGGAGACAGCTGGGGCCGCGGGGAGGGCGGCTGCTCCCTAACCGCACTGAGAGCCGTGGGACCGCGCAGCCACAGCGCCAGGGAGCCCACCCTGGCCGCTGGGGAGAAGGTTGCCTCCGCCTCGGGGGAGGGCTGCCCTTTCTGAATGTGACCGGGACGTTGGGGCTGAGGTCCAGCACACCCCGGTTCTGGGGAGCTTGGAGAAGAGTCCAGGACCTGAGTGCAGCCCTGGAGAGCTTTGCCAGCCTGAGCAGTTCCCACCCTGAGTTGCCTGTGGGGACCAAGGCACAGTGGGTGGGCCTGAGCACAGGTCCTGAAGCCAAGAGAGACCCCAACACCCAACACCCAAAGACAAGCAGGGCAGCCTTGGAAGGTTCAGCCTAACCTCCTAAAATGCCAATGGGTTATTTAACCCATGAGACACCTTTGTCCACTGAAAATCAAAATAGTGTTTCCTCCTTAGGCCCCCAACCTAGGAGAAGCTTGATACAGTGGGAAGCTGCTTCATGGGCCACATCCTTACCCTTGACCTGAGGAGCTGTCTAGAACATGCATTGATTGCAAAGCCCAGGAGGCAGACCCCTGGCTGGGGAGACCCTTCCGGAGGGGGGTCAGGAACCAGATAGAGATCCAGGTTTCTGCCCCGCACTGCTGTCCTCAGCAGCCTTGCAGACAGGATAGTGCCCAGAGGGTGGGTGGTCTCCCGTGAGTGCCCAGGCAGCCCAGTTCTAAGTGCCCAGAAGTCTGCTTGGCTCCTGGGAGGTCTGACACCCTGCACTGGCTCAGGGATTTTCTCCATCTGAATTTTCATCCCACTTTTCTGCCTGGCTCACTGGTGCTCAGGTTGGACTGGGAGAAACCTTCGTTGTTAATAATAATAATAATAATGTTTGTGTTCATACATAAATGTAATCATATTCCCAAAATACCATTATAGTAAGAATTTTTGTATTATTTGCTATCCAAACAAACCCCAGTAAGTCATCACCAGATATGTACTGCGCCACAGTCAGGCTCAAATATAAATAAGTAAATATGTATGTATTATACATAAATTATGATAATTTAACATGTGTACACATCACATGTTATGCGATTGTGTCGTTTATTATTATATGTCTATTATATTCTATTATATAATTGCACTGCATATAATAATATATAATATATAGCTTGCCATTTAAGCATTTTTACATGAATAATTCAAAGCCACAAAGTACATTCAAAGTGTTATTGCAGCTATCATCACTATGCATTTCTTGAACCTTTTCATCATCCCCAGAACTTCATCCAGATATATTTTATGCATCTATAAATATCCATATACAGCCTACGTAATGTCTTAATTTTGAACACAAATACACACCCATTCTCCAGCTTGCTTTTTTCCTACCTAATTTATCTTGGAGTTCTTGCCACAGAAGCATATACAGATCTCTTTGCTGTATTGTTGTTTCAAGTGGTTATATATAAATAAGCTAAAAGTTATCAGGCTCCCAGTTAATAAATGTTTCCTTTTTTTGTTTTTTTTTTTTTTCCTTTTTTTTGCTCCTGCAGCGAGTAATGTAGTAAATATCTTTGTACCTATATCTGCATACTGTAAAGGCTTATCTGCAGAATAAAGCCTCAGGGAAGTGGCAGAAAACTGCTAGAATTTGGACATGAGAAGGTTTGATCTAAAGTTACTCTCTTTTTAATGGTACCAATGTTCAAGCGGATACTGGGAGGGTAGGTGCTGCATAGCAAGCCCCAGCCTCTTCCCCAGTTCTGCTACCCTCCCCCCAAACCCCTGCCTGTCCAGACCTGTCTTAGGACCTCAGGAAAGCCACTTCATCTTCCTGACCTATGGTCTTTTCATCTGCAAAGTGGAGCCCAACTTAACTCAGTCAACTGTTGTTAGGATCAAATAAAGTCAAGAGTTTGAAAGACTTTTATAAATGCTAAGTATGGAGCTTGTGTTTGATATGGTCGTGATTGTTATCATCAATCCCTGGAGTCAACCAGGGAAGCCTCATGTCCAGACTGGCATCGTGAGGTGAGAACAAGTTGATAGATGATAGATAGGTAGACAGATGAGCTTGTCCACAGAGCTTGTGCTGGAGGGTGGAGTGAGTGACAGTAACTGAAAGGCGAACTTGGCTCATGAAAGGAGGTCACCTGCCCATCACACTTCTACTCCCAGAGCCAGGCTATGGGGACGGCCCCATTCTTCCGTAACACCCTGTGCATCTCCCTCATTGCCAGGGTTGGGGGGCGGGGGGTGAGCAGGCGGGGGGAGCTGTTTACTTGGTTTACTTACCCACTCCCTGCTGAAGAGGCTAGACCTGTGTCTTTCCAGTATGCCCACCATGCAGCCCATCAGATGGCCGCCTCTAGAGTGTGTTCCTAGGGTGTGTTCTTGCTTACCTAAACCATGCTGCCTTCTCACATGTGCCAGGATTGATGATCATAGTGGCTGTTTTCAGGAAAGAAAATTTTTAGTTTGCTAGAGCTGTTAAGAGTGTACCATGGACTAGGTGGTTTAAACAGCAGAAATTTATTTCCTGGTTGTCTGGAGGCTGGAAATCTGAGATCAGGGCGTCAGCGGAGTGGGGTTCCTGCAAAGTGTCTCTCAACTTGCCGATGACTCTGCTGTCTCAGTGTGTGTCTGTTTCCTACCTAGTCTTCTCTTCTAATAAGGACACAGTCACACTGGATTAGGACCACCCTAAAACCTCATTCCAAAGAGCTTGTCTCTGAAGATGGTCACATTCTTAGGTCCTGGGTGTCAGGACTTCAACATATGAACTTGATGGGAGACAGAATTCTGCCTAACACAGAAATGAAAGCTTGTGTTTAATATGTGTTAATGAAGGATGGAAAAGTAGAATAGTGGATCTTCATCCCTTCAGTAAAAAATAAAACCATTTAATGGGAAGAAACCATCACTTGATTCCTGGTATGTACAGGGTGAGCTCGGGAAGAACTAGCAATCACTACATGTGATTGAATGCATAGTCACCACCCTCTCATTACCCATAGTCCCCCTCACCTCCCTCAGTCATGCCACCCCAGATGCACCACCTCCTTGCTGTTCAGACACACAAAACCTGGTTCTGCCACAGGGCCTTTGCACCTGCTGTTTCTCTGCCAGGAATGCTTTTCTTCCACATAGTCCCCCAGCTGAGGCCTGCTGACCACTCATTAAAAACAAAAACCTAGAATCCATTTCTTTGTCACTTTGTACTTTCATTTTCTTGACCAGTCACAAGATTGAGTATCTTTTTATAAGTTTTTAAGCAGTTTGTTTTTCTTCCTCAGAGAATTGCCTATTTATATCATTTGCTGAGTCTTCTCTTGGACTTTTTGTCTTAGCTTTCATTTTTCAAAGTATTATTGATTGAATTTTAAAACTGCAAAAAGCTCTAGGAATGAGGCTTTTTATCATAGAATTATTTACACAGGTAAAAAAACAGAAACAAATCAATGAGGGAAATGGTTAAATGAATAGTAGAAGTATTCGCATGCAACCATTAAGAGGATATTCAGTAAAACTATGAACTAACATGAAATATAAACTATGAATATGTGAAATTACATGAAAATGTAAAATCTTAGGGCAGATTTTTTAAATATAGAATGATTATAATTTATAAATAACAAAAACTATGGCGAGTGATATACCATCTTGATAATAGAGGTTATATTTGAATGTAGTATTACAATTTTAATTTTTTTCAACTTTCCTGCAAGTTTATAATGACTTGATTTGCTTGCAAAATAAAATTGATTATAAGGGGAAACATTTAGTGATTACGTAAACCATAACAGGTTCAATGGAAATAGAAATACAAGAAGAGGGAAATTTGCCCATAACCATGTTGCCGCATAATCCTTGGAATCTTTGTCTATGGAAGTATAGGTGTGGCATGATTAGGATGCAGGCTGTTGTGACATAGGTTTGTGTTACAACAAAAACACAGTATTTGAAATATAATGCAGAGGAGGTGTAGCAAATTAAGTGGTAACAGTAAATCACCTGGAGCCAATAAATCACATAGGTGTGTTCTGCAGATCAAGGTGAGGAGGATGTCTCCCAACCCCTAGAAGTGGGTCAGCTTCTGGGGACGTTGGCTAGAAGGACCATTGACCTTCCTCTCCAACCAAGGACCAGTAAATCCTAGTGGTGGGAACTCTGCCAAATGGTGTCAAGACTACAGACCCATCTGGACCCTGGTTCCACCAGATCTAGAGCTT